CTGAGAATAGAACGGCAATCATTTGATATTTAATGTGTTGAAGTATTTTTGTCTGACTTTGGTGTCATTACATGAGAACAAATCTCTTTTTCATAGAATCATAGAAGTTGGAAGAGACTCTAAAAGGTCATCTGGTCCCACTCCTCTGCAGTGAACAGGGACACCTACAGCTCAGCCAGGTTGCTTGGACCCCCATTCAACCTGACCTTGAATGTCTCCAAGGACAGGGCATTCACCACACTTTTGAAAGGATGGATTTAATTATTTTGTTTAATGCTCTCCTACCAAAATGGAGTTTTCCTGAATCTGGGATTTAAACTTGACTTTTAGTTGGTCTCTGAGGTAAGCATTGCAGATGGTGAAGAACAGCAAATGGTGAGAAGGTAACAAATTCAATGCCATTAGTGCCATTAATGGGGAAAGCCCCTTGTGCTGGGGGACCCCATCGCCTCTCAACTCCTTTGGAAATATTTCTTGTACCTGACAACTTAGCTGCTTGTTTCTGTAGACAAAAGTACTCTGCAACAGGTAACTTTAAGGCAGTGGGAAACCTATTTCCAGTGTAATTTTGCTGTGGAGGAAAAGATGAACCATTATATATGGGTTTATATAGTGGGTAGGAGGTAGGGATACCCTGCCTGGAAAGTATTCTTAGAGTGCAGGATCCCCAGCTTCAATAAGTGATGTTGGAGCTGCACAGCTGCAATTGCTTAGGCACCAATCCTTCTGCCTTTTCCTCTGTGGGATGACATTAACTCTGCACCTGTGACCTCCCAAGTGCAGGGATGTCGGAGTTTGTCACGCTGCTTTTAGTGTAAGTGTTCCCTTTTTACACATGGATTATAAGGGTAACTTAGAGCACTTTATTTGGACTTTAGTTTTCATTTGGTACTTCCATTATAGAGGTTTCATAAGAATAATTGAGGAAAATATTTGAGATGATGCTGAAGTATATTTAATTTTCAACTTGTGAAAATCACACAGCTTTGGTAAGGCTAGAAAATGTGACTATTGCTTTTGTTGGCCTCTAAACCACCAAATACAGCCCAGCAATGATGCACAATGTGTTATATACAAAGTATACTCTAAAGACACTGCATTTTTTAGTATTTCAAATGCTAAAAGTTATTGTTACATATATTTGAAATATAACGTTAGAGCCACGGTCCCCCACTGTGAAGTTAACTTGCACTCGAGGATGCTGAAGGTCTCCAATCCCTGTTTTGCTGCTGCTGTGACAAACCTGTGGAACTGCGGCAGCACTGCTGGAGCCGCTACAGGAGGACAGCGTGCATCGGGGTGACGTGAAGATGCACTTAAACATCAAACTTTAAAAACTGGTACAGTTGTAGCTGCTTAATTGCTTTGCTTCGAAAGTCTAATGTGACATCTGAGGAAGTCATCTCTAAATAAGTCAGGAGACAAGGTTTCTCGAGAAAGAAAAGGCATAGATTTGCTGGGGACTCTTACAGACAAACTGTCAGGAGCAGTAAAATTGACGTGTGCTTAAGTGTCTTGGGGACCGGGTTCCGTGTTTTGTGTGCCCGGGGGGAGTGGCAGCCTGGCTTCAGCCTGTTCGAACCCAAAGTTTGCAGGTCCTACTGGAAGGGGTCTGTCCCGATGCAGGTCGGTCTTACTCCCAGCTATTTAGCTTAGGAATGTGTCATTGCAAGAAGGCGTCACCTGCGTGGTAGCGAGCTGGTGTATTATTCCGGCAGAAGCAAATAAGTTGTGGCAGCTGGAGCGGGGTGCCGGAACGGGGGAAGCAGCAGAGCCATGGTGTAGGTGCAGCAGGAGGAGCGGAATTGCCCGGGGCGGGCGGCAGCCGTGGGCACAGCGCCTGGAATGGGAGCGTCGGGCTGCACGGAGCAGCGGGAGCGCCCCGACGGAGCCGGCTGCTGCATGGCGTCCGTGTGCATCCTGCCGGCGGTTTGGAGCTTTTCGGGCTGCTTTTAGAGCAGAGGCCGCCGCTCCACGTTCGTTTCCCTGAGCCACGGCAGGGATTTCACTTCGAGAGCTTCTGCATCGAGAGAGAGGTGAACGCTCTGGGGGGTTTCCCGGGCTACCAGCCTCTCGCTGGGACTGTTAACGTGGGACGAGCGCTCAAGTTTGCCTCTCTTCTGCCCCAGCCCCGGCGCTTCCACCGTTCCCGATGTGACACCTCCCCCGATTGCCTGGGTCTGACTCATTCGCTGGTGCTGGGAGAGGCAGAACGGGGAGGGGGAGCCTTCAAAGTAGCCGCGATTTGTCTCGCTTTGACGAGGCGCCCGTGAGCATCGCCCCGGCAAAGGCGGCGGGGCCGGGGGCGGCCGCCGGGTGGCTCCCGTCGGTGGCTCCCGCCGAGCCTCGGGGCCGCGCCGCTGTCAGTCCCGCCGGAGGTGGAGGACCGGGGAGCATCGGACCGGGAGCTGCCGCAGCAGCGTTGCAACTGCCCTTCCAACAGCCGGAAAAAAGAAAAAAAAGAAAAAAAAAGAAAAGCCATGAAGACGTTGAAACGCCTCCTGCCAAAAGTAAAGAGCAAATCCCAGTTGTGATGGCTCTGCTAAAACTTGATCCTGCGGGATTTCAGGCGATAAAGAGCTGCCAGGCTCGCACGTACCGCGGTGGGCGCAAGTCGCGGGATGAAATCCCGGCATTAGAGGACCTATTTCCCGCTCCGTTGTTTGCAGAGGAACCCGCTGAGATGAGTCGGAGGAGCGCGAGCCCAGAGCGATGTGGGGAGCGAACGCGGTGAGTGCGGCGCTGAGCAGCGGTGGGAGCCTTTGGGTCCTGGGGTCGCTTTAAGAAGTGTCTCCGTGCGTATTTACTGGGGGTAGCGAATGAAAAACCGAAGCAACCCTAGCTCGTGCGTTTCCCTGTGTAGATTTACGGAAAATTGGGAACGAATCTGTGCCTTCCAAGATGCGGAGCTTCGCCCCACGCGCCGTGCTGCTCCCCGCTCCGTGCGTGCCACGAGCCGCCCCCCCTCCCGCCCGTGCGGAGGAGTTGGCCGCTGGCGCTGCCCCCGGCGGGATGCGCTCGTGCGGGCTCGGCTCGTGTGTTCCCGGAGAGGCCGGAGCTGCCGGCAGGGCTGGGGACGCTCCCGGGCGGGCTGTGGGCTCCGGGGGCATCTCCGGTAGGGAGAGCTCGGATTCGTTCCTAAACGCGGGCGACTGGGGGGAAACTTTTGAGTCCGGTCACTCGGAGTCGCTTCCAGTCGCGGTATTTCGGTTCGCGTGCCACGTGAAATTACATTTTATTTTATTTTATTTTTTTGCCCCGTTAAACATTCAGCCCTACTGACGGCTTTTCTCCTCTCCTCTTCCTTCCCCCCGTTCCCTCCCCTTCTGCAGCCCCCCTGCGCCCGTCTCGCTGGCCGCCTAGCTGCCCTCCCGGGATGCGATGGGCCTCGCGCTCTGCGGCGGGGATCACGCTTGCGGCCGGCGGCGCGGAGGCCGCCTGTGAGCCCGGGCACCGAGGGGCGCGACATGCCCGCGGCAGCGGCCCCGCCAGCACCGGCACCACCGGCACCCGCGGCTGCCGCCACCGCTCCGTCTCCTGAGGCGCTGGGTACGTGGGACGGCGCCGCGCGGCCGCGAGGGGGCGCCATCGTGCCGCCGCGACCGGGCTTCGTGGGCGCTCGGCGGGGAGCGGGGCGCTCTCGGCGCTGGGTGCGGGCGGACGGGAGGTGTCGGGAGCGCGGGTTCGAATCCCCGGGTTGTGCAGGGGCTTGAGAGGCCGCGCTGTGGCTGTGCCCGCCGCTGACTGCGCCGTCTTTGGTGCTGCAGCGGTGGGAACGTGGCCCGCACCGCTTTGATTTAGGAAGCGCGTTGGGACTGATCTGCAATTAAATGGTCTCAACAAGCTCATCTCCTAGTCTGACCCGTCAGGAGGTGATGATATAGCAAGCCCTTGTCTTGGTGTGCGTTTCAGCAGCAGATGATTCTGATTGATGGTGGAGATACGGTTGGCATGATGAGAGAGGAGATCTGAAAACTGCCACCCCTGATTGGCTAGACCTGCCGGTGCTTTCTGCGTGACGCTTTGCAACAAGGTTGGCTCAGCGTGGCACAGGGACTCCCCTCTTGCAGTTAGCAGAGTCAGTCGTGGGGGTGGAAATCCCTTGGGGGCACAGAAACAGAGGGAGACCTTCCAGAGCCAGAGCTCCTTTCCATCCGTCAGACAGTTTAGATCACTTCTTCTCTGGCTCATCTCTCTGTATTCAGCCCCGTACGGAGATCCGGCTGATTCTGAAGTAACCCAATGCAGTGATGCTCATTTGTGGATCGCCCTCCCCTTCGATGCCAGAGACAACTTTGTGTCTGAGATCAGCAGTTCTGAGATGCTCAAGTGAATGCCGTGTAAGAAAAGGGAGAAGAATTAGGATAGAATATTGTGCTGCTGAATCTGTTCCAGAGATGCAGTAGGCTGTGCATGAGCAGCAGCTGGCGAGGAGAGATCTTTGGAACTAAGGCAGCACGTTTCTGGGATGCTGCGCAATGCACAGAGTACACGGACTGGGCTTTCCAGCAGACCTCGGGCTTGCTTCTCTCATTTTAAGCTAACGCACCTCTTCCTACCAGACTGTGACTAAATCTTAAATAGACACACCAAAGGAAAATAGACTTCTGTTCCTCACCTGCTTTAGGAAGGCAAGGTTGAAGAGAAGGATGATGGCGCCTTTTTTGAATTGTTTCAGTCATTTCAGTTTTGTTAGCCACCCAGAAAAAATGTTAATGGCTATTTCTCCTGAACTTGTGCTTTTTTTTCTTCCTGTTGTCTTGCTTGTGGAAGACCAGTTGCAGTACCATCTATCAATGCCAACTCAAGTTTTTGAGGGATGTAAGCTTGAAATGAAACTACATGAAGAATGTGTTATAAAAAGCTGCTAAACTTTGTCTGGTGTCCAGAAGGTTTCTGTTTAGATCCTTCACTGGAGATACACAGTACATATTTTTTTTTCTCTCTGTTCCTTTTCTCATACAATGTGATCACTTTTACAGGGGTTAAAGCTGGCAAAGATGAGGAAAATTGGCTGTGCTCTCCTGGTACTCCAAGCTCTTCTGGCGCCTTTGGATCTTGTTCGTGGAGCAGAGAAGAATTATCCTGTCCTGAACATTGCAGTCATTCTGGGAAGGACCAAGGATATCACAGAGAGAGATATCAGATCTCTCTGGACCAGGGAGATGTCAGCAGACCTGACTGTTGATGTCAATGTAGTGACCCTTCTGGTGAACCAGACTGACCCTAAAAGCATCATAACACACGTTTGCGACTTGATGTCAGGTACCAAGATCCATGGAGTGGTTTTTGGAGACGACACTGATCAGGAGGCAGTAGCTCAGATTTTGGATTTTATTTCATCTCAGACTTCTATTCCAATTCTTGGAATTCATGGCGGGGCCTCCATGATAATGGCAGATAAGGTAGGAAGATTATTCAAAGCCTTCATTACTCTAATGCACTTCAGTGTAAGAATACCTCTAGTTATCTCTTTTTACTTTAAGAAAGAAAAGAATATACAGAGCAGTGTCCTCACTGACTACTCACCAAATATTTTAAAATATTTTGGGGTTCATACCTGAAACTCAATTTTCTTTCCACTGTAAAAGTGATCCTAATTAAACTTTACTCTCCACCAAATCTAATGCTGATCACCTCAAAAAATTATTAGCAAATACAATGCTTGGCTGTAAACGCAACAAAGAGTTCAATCAACTAACTGTAGGGACAAAATACAAAATTATAAGCAGATATTATTAATGAGCATGGCAGAATAGAAGCAAGTTATAGCCATGAATGTATTTAAGGACAGTAGTTGTAATAGGGCGTTTATATTAGACTGAACTCTTGTGATCTGCTATGGTCTATAATTTAAATAGGCTTGCAAACTTATGGTCACTGTATTAATTAAATTATTTTTTCACTAACCAGATACTTCTAACTTCCTACTATAGCTCATGAAAATCCACAAAGCGTTGTCAGAACCCTGGAGGTAATGACAAATTGCTTTGTTGGAAAACATTCCTTTACATAATCCATCGTGAGATTGTGGAACGACAAACAGAAGTGACTCACATATGCAGCTCATTTGCTTTAACACTGCAACAGTTTAAAATACATTTACTGGCACTGCAGGTAGGTTTGATCTAGCGGAGTGATGGGTGCTGCTTGGGAAGCAGTAGGTGTGTGGCAGCTCCCTGGGCAATGCGTTCTGGTGTGGACAGCTGCTTGGCCTGAGGGTCTGTGAGAAGCTCCTGCTGATGCTGAGGAGCACATGCTGTGTGGAAGGGAGTTTGTGTGGGCAGGCAGTCGCTGGTTTTCCAGCACACAGCTTGCACTGCACACATCCCACACGACGTTAATTGCAACTTATTTCCTGTTACTTGTACCCTTTAGGTTTTCTCATTCCCTAAAGATTGTTCTTCCTTATTGATGACTTTTGAATTGTCCTATGGGATCTCTCTGTATCCATCTGAATATGAAATGGTTTCATAGCTTGGGGGAGCAGAAGCAGGGAAGATGCAATGATCTGTTGCATCTTTTGCACCTTTTCTCTCAGCAAAAAACATATTCCACTGCTATTAAAGAGATCCTTCATCTCTCAGTATCATGAATGACCTTTTAAACTTGTGATGCAATGGTGAAAGTAATAACTGCTGAATTATAGCAGAGATTCTACAACAATGGGCTGGACATCTTGATTTGTACAGAGATCTTTACAGTCTGTACTGCTATCTTAAATGGAAGTGCAGCCGCCAAGTAATACAGATGGTTATGTGTTGTGCTTTTAAATTGCTGTACAGACTTCCTTATCTTTCTGAAGTTAGAGTTCCTAGATACGTATGAAGCTATTTGATGTGTGTCACTCAACTTTCTATACCAGTACAAAAACATTTGAGACTGAAGAACCCAGGGAGAGCTGAGTGATGAAACTGGCAGAAATCTGTACAGTATAAATGCTCAGTAGCTGAATGCAGGATGTTCCCGATACAGATGATTATTATTTACTTTTATTTATGAAACAGATTGCATTTTTCCTGCCTCAGGAAGTTAATACTGTGTTCCTTTTGTATGCTAATATTGTCACTATTACGTCACCGTCTTTGATGTTGGGGGTTATCGCAGTTTGATAATATAACACTGTGCTGAATCTTGGCTTCTAAGATTTCCATTTGGGAAATCAAAACTGTTCACTTGTGTGTTAAGGCAATCGAACAGAGCTGTCTTTAGTAGCTTGAATTGGCTGAGAGAGTTTTATGATCGCGTAACTGAAATTGCCTCCGTTTTTATCTTGGCTGTTCCAGTGCGCAGTATATCTTGGCGCTGCCTTTGGAACAGCACAGAAATAAGGCTTGCGTGTGTCACTCAATTAACCCATCATTTGGGAACGAATTCCTGGGAGCCGGAGGTGAAATTCGCAGTGCTGTCAGAAAAGCAGAGGGGATGAAGGAGAGAGAAGAGCTGCGAATATAAAATCTGCCTTCCAAGGCGGTGTCAGGATTTCAGCCGAAATGCACGGCTGCTGGTTTACATTAGAAAGTTGATCGGTGTTGAGTCTTCTGTTTTGTCTCCCATATTGAGACTGCTAGCATAAATAAAAGGTGCTCAGTCTCACTCCTGCCTGTGGATAGAATTCCCACCTCTGGCACTCCATGGCCTTTTCATTTGTTCTTACTGTGTGGCTCTAGTAATTTCTTTCCTTCCGTGTGGAATCATGCTGATACTGTGTTTTAGATGACTTTTAGATGGAAAGGAGTGTGCATGTGTTGTACCTGCTCGCTTGCAGTCTACAAGCAAGGCTGGCACACAGGCAGCACAACAATTCAGTGAATTCTGTGCCAGTACTTATATGATGCTTAACTGTCCTAAATGTGAGATGAGCTGTGGATGTGAATGAGAAGTTGTCTCTAAGTCTGTACTCCTACAGGCTTCCCTGGAATGCTCTGAGTGGATGAGCTTTCCATTTTCTGCACTGTTAATAAATACTGCTCTTGGGCTATGATGTCCCAGTGTGAGCACTGGCTGTCAGTAGGACCTTGCTCCAATCTTGGCCATCAGTAGGACCTTGCTCCAATCTTGTTAAAATTTGGTTGCACAGCCGAGGGAATGCGTTGCTTCATAAGGATTATAAAAATGATGGCAGTGTGTAAAGCCAACAGTACTGAAATGGTTTCCGTGCTTTCCCTCACCTGGAACCTGTTGTTAAGACCCAACCAATAAAGCTCTGGGATGCCTATGGCTGTGCAGCACCTCCATGCCCCAGCTGCACCGTAGAGGTGCCCAGGACAGCAGAGCATGCTTTGCCTGTCACCAGCACTGTCACCTGCTGCTGGCAGCAATCCTGCTGCCAATGAGCTGCTCCTGGGCTCTGGTCCTCAGTTCTTCCGTGGGCTCAGGGAATGTTCAGATTTGAGACAGTCCACTGCAACAAGATGAGAACTGTGTGTGGGACATGTGTGCCAACCTGCTGTGCGTCGGCAGCCCTGGGAGGATGCTGCTAACAGGCTGGCTGTTTATTCACCCCCTTGTCTGTTCAGGTTTGAGATTTTAAACCAAACACTGCTTAGGATCTGTTTCCTGACTTCAGCATTTGATTTTAAACTTAGTTAGGTTTATTTCACCACATGCTATCGTTATAATGATTGTAATTAAGATTCCTTTCTAAGACAGAACATTACAGTTAGTTCTGCTACGATAACGAAGGATTTGTTTCCTTCAGAAGTGGGAAGAAGCCACCTGTGTTATAAAAGCACCTGTGAGCACTGAGCATCTCTGAACTATGGTACTTCTGTATGTTTCAAAACTGAGTCTAATTTCTTACTAGAAACCTCTCTGAAAGACACAAAAACTGGAAGCATTTTAGTGTGGTGAAAGCGTGTGTGTAGCTGAGCAGCACTAAAGGTGAGGGCAGTTTTCCTTTAGGGCCATTAAAAAGTGACACTTCTTGAAATAGCCTTAGAATTGTTAAAATAAATCTTTGACATCCCAGGAAATAATGTGATGAAATTATAATTCTTCATTATTCTCTGAGCTGATGAATTAATGCTGGTTATTAACACTTTCCTTAATTGTTTGGTATAAAATCCATTCTGCACCTACCACCGTCTTCTGCTTTCCTTTTATCTGCCTTTTTCCTAGCTGTGAATACAGAATGGTAGAATAACAGAAATCAGAGGGATCTCTGGAGGTTGCCCAAGCCCCATTTGTCAACAAGTGAGCTACTATGTTGAGTCAGGTCCTTCAGGACCTTCTCCAGTCCAGCTCTGAGCATCTCCATGGATTTAAATACAACAATCAATCAGTTCCACTACTTAAACTCCCACTGCGCAAACCTTTTTGTTATATCTCATTAGGATTTCCCCTTGTAATGTGACCATGACCTCTTGTTTTGCTGAGTCTAACTCCGTTTAGACACCTGTCCTTACCTGTCCCATCCCCAGCAGACCCCCATTCCTTTGGCCTTTCCTTGCAGCCTTGTGTGCTCCAGTCCTTTGGACTTGCTGAGAGGTGGTGGTGTTTGTATGGGGGGAGCCCAAAACCAAATGTGTGATTGTAGCCACGGTCTCATGAGTTCTAGGGAGGGAATGATGTTCCACGAGCATATCATGCATGACTGTGCTTCAGTTCTCATGCTTCAAAAATTGTTGCAAAGAATGGGAAAGGATGTAGGATTTCTTTTTTATTGTAGAATCACTTCTGGATATTGTAATTCCTGGAGCGTGTTTATTGATTTGTATGTCGCCACGTACAATGTGTGTTATTTCCCCCCCAGCTCACGATAAAACAGTTCTACATTCTTACAGAAAACCTTACATTTAAATTTGCTAACTTTTCATTCTTGCCTTTGCTGTTAACTGATATTAGCATGTCTGTGGCAGCGTACTTCTGAGCATGGTAATGATTTTGGCTATGGTTAGCACTGCAGAAGGTAGGAAGATGAAACTACAGCTAAATGCCTTAGTCTGAAAATACCAATATTAATTTAATGTTTCATGTCTGGATACATTACACTGTTCCATTGCATGCAAGCAATACTTCTAGCTTCTGCCTCTTGTAAAGCAGTGTTTCAATGTTTCCTTTCCCGTGATTTTCCTTTGTTGCTGTACTAATGCTGCTACAATAAGCATAACTTTCAGAAATTCTTATTGCACTTTTAACTGCAATAAAAACGTAGTATTGATCTCCCTTTGCATATGTATAGCTATTTATTTTAAAAAAAATCTTGTATATGCTAAAGATTTTTATAACTGAGCTCATAATCCACAGTTGTACCTTTTACACGCATGTGCTATGACTGTTTGTAATTAAATGGTTAAAAATGTGCCTGAAATCTGTCTCACTGAGGCATATGGACTGGATTCAATTTCTTGTGCTTTTCTTTACCTGGAGCCAACTCTCAGCGAGCGTGAGATGGTTAGGATGC